TTGCTACTCTATAACTATAATTTTGCTACTGTTATGAATCGTAATGTAAGTATCTTCTTGTCTTCCGATGATCTTAGGCGACCCCTGTGAAAGGGTCGTTCGACCCCCAAAGGGATCACGACCCGCAGTTTGAGAACCACTGCTGTAGGGGGATAATTTGTAGCTTTGCCTGTTCCAGCTTCTTGAGGCCACCTGCATTCTTTGGCTGCTGTCCCCTTTCCCCATCAACAAAGCCAGTATCTCCTGTCCCCTCTGACCTCTCTCTTCATCCGTCAATCTTTCCTCTGTGTCGCTGACCTTCCTATGCCTCTCTCTTTTAAAAAGACCCCTGTGATTTTATTGAGCCCATCCAAATCATCCAGGATGATTCTCCTCATCTCAAGATCCTTAATTGAAACATTACGGCAAAGTACCTTTTACCATTAAGATAACATTCACAGGTTCTGGAGTTGGGATGTGGACCTCTTTGAAGGGGGCCATTACTGAGCCTACCATAGGGGCCATAGAGAGCAATCAAGGCCTAGGAGACCTGTGACTTAGGTCACACAGCTTGTTTGTGGCAGTGCCATGACTATATCCCTGGCATCCTCACATTTGCTATGTGTATGTGCATCACCGTCAAAGAGGGGCAGCCGCATGCCCTGATGGAGGCTTTATTTTCATAATAAACTTGAAATGATTGAGGAGTAAATAGAGGATGAAATCAATGATGTAAGTAGAGCAGTTTAGGACAGAAGTTTATATTTTTAAAACTAAATGTTTCATGTAAAAACTTTCTTAAATATTACCATTTTTCTGGGGTGTGGTACCTTCTAAAGATGCCTTGCTGGGATAACAGCTTAAACAATGATGAGAAATGAGAGTACCAAGGAAGCACTTGTATATGTTCTTCTTTCTACGCTTCCTTCTACTCCTTCTCTTTCTCCCTCTGTAACTCTGGCCATTGCTGCCATTTTGAAAATCGTTTATGCTGGAAAGCCCATTCAGACTCTTTAAACTAAAGGGAGTGAAGCCCCCAGAGGCTTATTGGAATGGGTTAAACCAAATTGGGTATTTGCCATAATTAACAAGGAAGCCCATAGTTTGACATTGAAGCGTTCTTCTAAGAATCCAAGGAGTTCGTTTTTAATTCTCCTCCCACTTCTGCCCAACAGTTACCTGTAACAAATAAAAGAGTTATGACGTTTGGATTTAGTTGAGGCTAGCTATGCCATCTAGCCCAAATATGTTCCTGAAGTATGGGTCTCTCATTTAGATTCTTTGGCAAGTGTGTGTGCCAGACTCCTCTCTCACCTCATCTTTCTCCTCCATGTCATGGGCAGGAACAATAGCTGCTGTAAATTAAACACTGCATTAAATTTGAGTTCCTGAGAGGGATAGGTACATTTGAGAGGGTTGTGATTTGATTGCCAGGCTCATCTTCTCAAGGAATCGCTCCCTGGCTCCACTTCCACGGCTACGGGGTTCGGTGCCCCTCATCTAGAGTCTCATAACACACTCAACTTAACCTCCTCCTCTCCCCCCCACTCAGTTCAACCTTACCCAGGGTTTGACATGTGGTGGGAGCTCACTCTACCGCTAATGGATGCTGTGGATGGATGATTGAATCACGGCCACATTATCTCAGGGGCATTTGGAGGACACATGGATCCAGAGCCTCAGTAGAAATGCTGAGAGGGGCAGGAAAAGGCTGAAGATATAGTTTCTGGATCTTCACTGACATAAAATTAAGAGTTTGGCTCCTTCTGCTAACTTTCTCAAACAAAAGAAAGCAGGACTGGCAATTACCATTGAAATTTATTTTAATAGATGTTTTAATGTGACACTGAAGATGAGTAGACAATGTCCCTTTGGATATTTGCACTCAACACTCCATGCCATTTTTTCCTGCCTATCAAATGAGCAAATTCTTCAGCTGCTGGTACATTAGGTTAATGACACAGCACTGAACTCAACAAAGTCAAGTTGCCAAGATCCTGTCTAGCATGGACTGGGGATTGTAGAAATAATTCATTCCCTCAGTTTGGTCTTCACAACCCACAGAATAACACCTTGTGTATGTCGAATGTCACTTTCTTGTATATAGGACAAGGTTAATTCTTACATCATTCCTGCCAAATGGGCAAGCAGAGTATGAGCTCAGGAATTGCTAAATATTTAGCATACCTCAGACATGTTGCAAAGGTGATGTGGTTGGATTATGTCATCTTCCCAACTAAGGCATTAATGCTAACTGTACTCATCAAAGAGGCCACAGGATGAATGGGTCTGAAACAAGAAACTATGATCTTAAAGATCATGAAGGGAGGACGTACAGCAATTGCCTAAGATTCAGGCCAGGAAAATGCCATAGCAACACCGAAGGATCTCTATGGGTGGGAAACATTGGGGGACTCTTGGACTTTACCACTTTTGTACCATCGTTCTTTTTATGTCGTGTCCCCAGTCATCCACCCAGCCAGCCTGACTCTACAATTTCTTTTTGTTTCTAGTTCCTTCTTTCTGGGGATTGGTGAACTCAGCTTGGAATCTTTGCTCTGTGGGGAAACGGCAGTCACCGGTCAACATAGAGACCAGTCACATGATCTTCGACCCCTTTCTGACGCCTCTCCGCATCAACACTGGGGGGAGGAAGGTAAGCAGCCATGTTGTTTCCATTGTGACGCTGAGGAGCAGGGTGGGGAGATGCTGATTCTGAAAGCCAGCTCGTCTCTGGGATGAGTTTGTCTTCTCACCTAGGAATAAGCCCACAGACCTCAGGCCTTGCTGCCAACAAATATAATTATGTCTAAATTGTGCTTTCTCTCCCTAGCTAGTCAAACCCTAGTGTTTCTAATTACTTTGTACCCCCTGGAGGTTGCCTGAGGTTCTATCCCTTGATACCCCATGAAGGTCAGAACACAGAGTTGCCTCCTCTGCCTATCATGCTGGGAATATCCTTCTTCCCAGAAACCTTTTTACTGGGGGCTTCTTTTAACCTGAACAAAGTGAGAATAACATTTTTAACAAAAGTAAAATCAGATGTTTCTCATCCTAAAAGGAAAAACAAACAAAAAATCACCCTAGATGATTTATACGAAAATCAATAATTAATCTTCCTAGGGGCATCTTGCTGGCTAAGAATCCTAGCTCCTGTACAGAAATGCTGAGCTGTGCTTTGTGATTCTCACGCCAGCATGCTTCCGTCCCTCCCCTACCCCCATAAGGCATTCCTCCTTAATTCGTGGAAGGGCATAATGCCTGTGGAGTTTTCTCATCGCTGGAATTTAGCATTTCTTTTGCTGGTTCATTTCTGTTTGGCAACCTTTTACTGTTCAGTGCATTGTTGAAGGTGGAAAAAAACACACACAGAGAAAATTGTGTTTGAAGGTGATTTAGCTGTTGCAAACTCAAGAGGGGTGGAAAATCATTTGTGTGCAAGAAATTGGGGTTAAAATTATGGACAACTTTTGTTACTGCTGGCAGCTGATTCTCCAGGGTTTGGGTTCCTTAGGCTCTGCTCTCTCCTCTGCTTATGCAGTCTGTTCAGTGTTTGTAGGTAGGTTTTTTTCTTCTTCTGATATATTAGAATATGTTTTCTTCCTATCACATAACTGTCTCTCACACACACACACACACACACACACACACACACACACACGTGCGCGCGCACATGCGCGCGCGCAAAAAAAAAAAAATCTAATGACTCATCAAAGTGTTGTTAGTGACTTTGACTCAGGTCATAAGGCAGGTGGTAAGAGACCTCGCATGTGACTGACGCTATTCAGCTATATAGTACTTGTGTGCTGTTTTAAATATAACTTGGGAAGTATTTCTGTGGAAAGTTCCTGTTCAGCCAATGTCGTTAATTGCTCTGATTCCATAGGAAACTAACCTACCTAATTATCGTTCCATTTGCAGTTTTAGTTCTACAAACCCTAAAAGGAACTTGATGTGGGTTTCACATACACCTCTCTCTTAAAAAGGGACTTGTTCATGTCAAGCCCTGAAGATGGATAGGTTCACTGACCAGTATGTAAGAAGGGCAAGTTGCAGTTTTGATGAAATGACCCATTATTCTTTCTTTCTTGGAGAGGGCGATGAGGGGAGTAATTGTATTCTAGGCAAAGGGAAAAGCAGTAAAAAAGAAAGAAAGAAAGAAAACAGTCCCCAAAAGCAGAATGAGGGTTGGTAACAGAGTTCCGGAAATTATCTGAAAGATGGCCAGAAAGGTGGAAGCAAAAAGACCAAAGAGAAGGTGGTGGGGAGATAAGGGTGTGGGAGGAAGGCAGGGGCCAGATCCTGAGGCCATATTAAGGAACTGGATCTTTTTCCTAAGAGTTATGGCAAGCTTTAGAAGCGTTTTTAGGGAAAAGGTACATTGGGTGTAAGATGGGAAATGTGGCAAGCTAGCACAAGTAATGGATATAAAATTTTCACTTTCCATTAGGCTATCGTAGAGGAAAGTGTTGACGTGAAAGAAAAAAAATAATAACTAATTTCAAGACAGCTTCTCCCTAAAATTTATTGGGAAAGAAGGGACTGGGAGACAGTCTGGTGTTAAAAATCACTCATGTGTTATGTTTTGTTTTGATGTTTTTATTGTTAATAAATGATTTTTTCTCAAATTCCCAATTCAGTAAAGTGTACCTGGTCCAAATCAATTTTCAAATGCATTGGAGTTTGGAGTTTTGGAAACATTGACTTTTGACGATGTAAATATTTATATCTGGCACGATTTGTGTTGTCAGCTGTTTGAAGAGCTGAGAACTGTCTTATGGTTCTTTTGCATTTGTGGAAAGGTGGAAAAGAAAATATTGATGGGAGTAGGATAAAGTAACTGGTATAAAATGCCTAAACTTGATAGATGGTAGCTAAACCACACTGGCAAGCTTTTTAAAGGTGGTTTTTAATGAGTTAGAGACTTGTTTTGGAAGTGAGGATTCAAATCACTGCTCTGAATTTTGTTTTGCCTTAAGGAAATGTGTATTCTAGCCATAAGGCTTAAAAGCTACCCTGCAAGACTGGGCGGTTTTGTAGAATTTGGGCAAGGTGCCATATTTTGAAGTCTGAGATCAGCTGGGTATCAGCATGTTAAATGCGTCCTAGGCGTTACGTGTTTTCTGTTGCATTCTTATCCAGGAGCATGATTCCTGCCCATGTTGAAATATTTCTTATTTACACACCCATGAAGCCGCTCTGCCCCAGCCCCTCACTTATGTTATGGAGTTTGTTTTAACATGTTTGACTGGCATAGGCTCGGATGATGAATTAAGGGCATTTCTTAGCAGGAGCGAGGGCTGACATTCAGCCTGAACACAAGAATACAAATAATAATACTAGTTAGACAAGAATCAGAATATGTTGTGTCTTGGATATAATAGAGGATATTCATTTTACTTGAGCCCTGAGATTTCTTGTACCTTTCAAGTTGCTTATGTTCAATGGTATTTTTTAAGCAGTGTTTGCTTGTTTTTTTTTAACGAGAGCATTTTGTATCCAGTGGTAATATCTGACACATAGGACTCTTACAGACAAAATCCAAAATAATTGTACTTTGCAAATAACACTCACTGAAGGTTGGTTTGCACATGGATATAAGAATCCTACCTTGGGACCCAGCCTCCCACCCTTAACTCCGTTAAATCTAACTCCCCATAGTCTAAATAGTATTTTGTTTTTCTTGACCTTGGAGCTAATGAATCTCTTCTAGGTGAAGATACTAAATCAATTCAGGAATCAAAAGGGAGTGGGGTAAGATAATGCTTCTTTCATGGTCTCAGATCATTTGAAGTCTCTATATATGGCAATTGGACTATGATATAACTGTTGTTTAATCGCAGTTTAATCCTGATTGTTTTAAAGACAGAGGCCCTTGTTGGCAATTGAACTTGTAAAGCTTCACAATATATTTTGATGTTCCTTGTCTTTTTCCTCAGACCAAAGTGAGTGTATATGATGTGTTTAGGTGTTAATGTTCATGTGCTAGTCATATAAGTAAGCTTCTTGGTCATTTGAAAATAAAAATATGGAATGAGAATGTTACCCACAGCAAAATATGAATATTCTCCTCCCTTGATCCTTTTAGAGTACAGTAATTCCTCCAAATATTTTCCTGGAGCATTCCTGATACAGGTGGGTGCTGGAAGATTGTGGGTTAAGAGGTGAGCTGAGCTCCCATGAAGGGAATGTGTCCATAAATAAACTCTCTGCTGATCTAAAATACCTAAAGGAAGGAAACACGTTAAAGCCAAGTCGAAAATCCCTTGCTGATTCTACCATTTTAACCAGAAATTAGTTTTGGCATCTTCATCTTTTGGCTCGTTTAATAAAATGGATATCTCAATAGTTAATGACACTAGAATTGCTCATGACACGTTAGATGTAAAAGTTAGCTTCTAAAATCTGCCACTTACCAATCCCAATTTTGTTTAAAAAGTGCCCATGATATGCCCAGGGTTAAGGGTGATATTGTTTTCTTTCTGTTTTTCTAAAGTTTATATATAGATTTTTCTACAACAAACTTGCATTAATTTAATAGTCTGAAAAACACCTATTTTTTAACTTCTCTCCCCATTCTAGGCAAAACTATGCTTAGATTTGGTAAATATGGTAAATTGACTAATGCTTCCTCCTAAAGATTTCCACATCCTAATACCCAGAATCTGTAAATATGTTATCTAACACAGCAAAAGGTATCATGAAGGGGGATGAAGTGAAGGATCTTAAAATGGGAAGAGCACCCTATATCCAGTTGTGCCCACTGTGGTCACAGGGTCCTTACAAGGAAAAGACAGAGTCAGGAGGGTCAGAGTCAGAGAAGAAGACCTGACAAGACAAGTAGAAGTGAGAGCGATGCCAGGCCGTGAGCCAAGGAATGCAGGCAGCCTCTGGAAGCTGGCAAAGGCAAGAAAATAGATTCTTCTCTAGAGCATCCAGGCCTGCTGAAGCGTTGATTTTATCCAAGCAAAGCTGATATCTGACTTCTGACTCCCAGAACGTAAGATGACACTTTCAGTGAGGGAAGAAGCCAGCTCAGTGCAACCCGCAGGGATGCAGCTGGGCAGTGAAGACCCCGGCGGCACTCCCTTCCCTCCTTTCTTCTGCCAAGCCGCCCTTTGGAGAGAAGTCAGACACGACACCGAGCCAGCACACGGATCCAGCCTGTCTAAGCCAGCCTCCCGGCCACAGAGCCAGGTGAAGATGGATCTGAAGGGACCAACGGAAGACATCCAACACAAGGCTATAGGTTTTCTCTACGTGACTATTTCCACATTCACCATAAAATGAATAGGAGGCAATAAAATGCATCATGATCTGTAAAATTCAGCACGAACGCCTTAGCCTAGCTTTCACAGCCCTTGCAATACGGCCCCCAATCTCCCTTCCAGAGTCTTCCTCCTCTTATACTTTATGCCTACCTTTTGTTTCCAGTGAGATTATAATACTTTTTTTTTCTTTCTCAAATTGGATGTAGATCCCCATGATCTGTGCTTCGGCCACAGCATACTCTTCACCTGATGCGCTTCCTTTTTATTCTTCAGCCTTTATGGCCCCAGTGCTTCCTCCTCCATGGAATGCCTCTTGGTCTCTTTAGCTGATGGTGAAATCTCTCTTCATTGGACTTCGTAGGTACCTTGCTTATATTTCTTCTAG